GTGAATTACATCCCAGACCCCCTCCCCCAAATTTCTTGTTGCTACAGATAACATTATCTGCACAACAGGATTGTGAGTAAGGCTGCAGGGTAGATAATAGAACTTTATCAATATTAACTTCCTGATGTTACTATTTGCACTGTGCTTGTGTAAGAGAAGTTTTTCTTTTTTCATAAATGCATCTAGGACAGAAAGAGAAATATTTTGTTCCAAGGAATACATATGGAAGTATTTAAAGTTAAATGGACATCATAGCTAAACTTTACTCCCAAATGACTCAGAAAAAATCTGCATATATATAGAGAGAATATAATAAAACAAATTGACAAACTGTTAACAATTGGGGAAAGACATGTGTTCCTGCAACTTCTCTGTAAGTCTGAAATTATTTCACAATAGAAAGTTACAAAAATGTACATATCCTTTGTCCTCACAATTATCTTCCAAAAGGTACTCAACATGTATATAAAGATACTCATATGTGGATGTTCATTGCAGTATTGTTTGAAATAGCTAAAGATCAGGCTCAAACAAATATTCATTGATAGGGGATTTTTCATACTATGAAACACTACGTAGCTGCTAAAAATAAGGAAAAAATCACCTTACATTGATTAGAATAGCTACTATAAAAATAAACAGAAAGTAAGCATTGGCAAGGATGTGGAGAAATTAGAAGTTTTATCTACTGTTGGTGGGAATGTAAAATGGTGCAGCTGCTATAGAAAACAGTATGGAGGTTCCTCAAAACAAAAACAAAAACACAGAGATGTCATATGATCCAGAAATTTCACTTCTGGGTATATATCCAAAAGAATTGAAAGCTCAAATAAATGAGCTGCCTTGTTTCAAAATAATATGTTTTCTACTAGTTTCTGTTACATTCATTGATTTAACCAATTTTTAAAAATAAAGATAACAGAGTTACATTCCACAGTGACATAAATAAAGTAAACTAAAATTTCCACAAATCGTCTTTTTTTTTTTTTTTTTTTGATATGGAGTATCGCTCTGTTACCCAGGTTGTACAGTTGCGAGATCTTGACTCACTGCAACACCTGCCTCCTGGGTTCAAGCGATTCTCCTGCCTCAGCCTCCTGAGAAGCTGGAATTATAGGCACGTGCCACCACGGCCAGCTGATCTTTGTATTTTTTAGTAGACATGGAGTTCCACCATGTTGGCCAGGCTGGTCTTGAACTCCTGACTACAAGTGATCCACCCGCCTCAGCCTCCCAAAGTGCT